AATTACAAAATGGCAGCTTTACCATCTTTATTTCTGCTCTATTTCTTCTAGGCAGTGAAGAAAGCTATTTTAGAAGATATGATCAGATTGGGAAAAGGGGCTGGCCTTAAATCCTTTGAACAAGTGAGTACTTCCAAATCCTGCTTGTCACAAGCACTTGTATTGCTAATGCAATGGCTAGGAAGTTTTTATTCCTATTATTGACTGTGTCGGGATGGGACCTAAGACAGCTGCCCCGGACAACCGATTAAAGTAGGCAGAGAAACACTGACTGGCTGCCTTCCTCTTGGCCAAGAGGGCAATAGCCAGGAGACAGTGTGGAAGTTCACTGAAGGCTGCAGGAGATGTACTGTAGTTCCAGTCCATCCTCTGCTGTGTCAGCCAAAAGGATTTTGGCTTATATCAAAAAACAGTTTGGTTACTGGAGCTCAGGAGACTGAGTTTTTGCACTTAGCTCAAGGAAGCTGGGAAGAACTGTTTTTTGTCATCTAAGCAATTATGTAAGTGTCATACTATATTGTTTTATTTTAACAGGTTAGAGACCTGTACATCCACACAGAGATGTTCTCTGTAGAAAACGGACTCTTGACACCAACACTGAAGGCAAAGCGACCAGAGCTTGTTAAACATTTTGAGAAGCAGATTGAGGCCCTCTATTCAAGTATGGAGGAATAAGTGGCTAATTTTAAACTTCACAGCATGGAGTATCCAAACAAATCTGTGACACTATGTGACCTGTGGAGAGGAGCAAGGAGGACTTAAATATATTTGTTTCTGGTATCCTGGGAAAAATTATTTTCAGATGAAGATACCTATAGTGTAACTGACAACTGGCACTGCTCACAGCTTGCAGGACTAAGCATCAGCTGCCTAAGCAAAGCCAGAATTTTCACCTCCCTTGAACTGTAGATGAAGCACAAAACTACTCAAAGCTTTGGCCTTTACAAGGCAGATCTATGCATTTCTCACTGTCAAAAGCAAATCCTGTTTTCCTGCTCCAACTATGAACTCCAGTCCTACCTTTTGTGGATTGATCTGCAATCAGACTGAACTCTCTCATGCAGTTACGTTTGGGTGGGGGAGAGAGAGTTCAAAACCCAAGTGCAGGAAAATGACACTTCAGTTTCCATGCAAGATGCTATAATCTGTCTCAAGTGAAGCTCTCACATTATGAATGAGATTTTAACATCTGTTCAACAAATAAAGAAGTGAATCTCCTGTTCCTAGCTCTGGACCACACACTATAGGTTGTTTTTAATGAAAATGAGTAGTCTGGCATCAACCAGTTTACAAAGTGCATGTGTCTAAAGCAAACATAATTTATACTTAGGATGGGAGGCACTGGATCAGATTTTTTTGCACATTATCAAATGCATTGGCAGTTATAAAGCCTCTATACCTATGAATTTCAGTCTGATAAGTGGAAAACTTTACCTATCCTTCTTAAGGATAAAGGATGCAATAAATTGTAACTGCACAATCAAACCAAAGCCTGTGTGAGTGACTTGCTTCTCTGCTGCAACTAGACTGTGTCGGCTGCAGTTTTACTGCAGCCCAGTTATGGATAGCTGCAGATAGAGCCCAACCTCTGCAGAAAGCTAACTTGTTTCTTGTGCTGTCACTGCTCAGCCACAACTCAACCCATGAGGCACTGATAGTGCCTGACCAGATGTTGCTCCTCTACTCAACTTTCCTTTTCTTGTAGTAAGGCAGTATGTGCCAAAGTCCTCAACATAAAATCATTCTCCCACTTCAGCCTGTCATATGAAGTAGAGATTCAGGTATAATTTTCTAATGCTAAAAATACTTCTTTAGAAAACATTTTAGGCAAGATGAGTACTGTCTCTATTTTTAGAAACATCTTTGCTCAGGGTATACTGTCTCTGCTGACCATTCCTTTTTTTTGTATCTCTGTGAAACAACCTCTGTGCCTCCAACTTAATAATTACTGGTTAGTCTCTTCTGTTCCTGATCAAGAGTGGAAGAGTTCAAAGGGAAATATTGACTCTTAATTAATAATTTGGCTTTAAAGAGGTTTTTATTTCAATGAATGCTCTCAAAACAGCTCTACAATCATTCCCGAATGCCAGAGCAAGGAAACTGCTGTAAAACTAAGTAACTTGTAAATCCCTGGCTTCCTAGCATGGGAGGTTCTCTTTTTTCCTGGTCACTATTTAGCATTTGAAAAACTAGCTATATTGGAGATACTGAAACTCTAGCATCAGCTTGTATTTGCTCAACTCTGAAGGTATCTGGATTAAAATCAGAAGCCTTTTGGTTAATACTATTGAGGAGGACAGAACTCTATTTATTTTTTTTACTATTGGTAATCACCTCAAAGTTAACAGGCATGAAATAGCTAGGCTAGTCTTTTTCACAGCCTGTTGTCTATGGTAATCTAGCCCCTTCACCAAGAACCGAGAGTCCTGGCACAGTAAGTACCTTCACTCTGCAAAGGCAAGTCTTTACAGATTGAAGGCTAAAGTGAGGGCAGATGAATAGGATGCAAAATTTTCGTTTATTTGGGGGCTGAAGAGGCTACCTGAGATGTTCATTTAGCATGGCAAGTAACATTTGTTTGTATGGCAGATTCTGTTCCTGTTTAGGTACAAAAACTGTCTCAACTGAAGTAGGTAGCATTTCTCATTAGCCTATTTCATTGTTTTCCTTTAAACAGGAGGGCAGGGTTCCACTTAAGGATGCAGTTATCCTTATCTTCCACCATACTAGAACCTGAACTAGGCTAGTGTGGCATTAAAAGTCTAGACTTGCTGTTAGATGATGGAAAGAATGCAAATATCAAAATTTTAAATAGAAAAGGGCTATTCTTCCCTCAGGGAAAAGCAAGAGATAGTTTAATAGAGCTAACTGATGTGTGAGACACTAGGGATTTTGAATCTATCAACTTAATTCCCTAATGAATCACTGAAGAATTTTGCTTAGCCCAGACCTGGCTTCTCTAGGGATTTTGAATCTATCTCAACTTAATTCCCTAATGAATCACTGAAGAACACAGAACAGCTATGTCAAATATATACCTCCTTCCCTTAATAAACAGGTTTTCCTTGAGCAAAATGCCAGGAGTGGGAAATGAAGAAAAAAAAAAAAAAAGTAGAAAATCTATTAAAAATCAGAATTCCTTAGAGACAGCTTGTCTTCAAACTTCCTGCTCTGACACATTTGCTTTCAGCAATGGAGACTGTATTTTCTTGGCTGCAGACTTTCTAGACGCCTTCAAGCATGCATCTTGTTTTGGCTGGTTGTGTGTAGGCAAGCACTGCTGAGTGAAGCTGTTGTAATGGTAAACAGAAACATCAATTTACTTTGCTACAAATGGAAAGACTGGGCTGAAGTTATAGCTACAAGGAAAGGAGATGAAAGAAAAAAAATAAAAAAAGAGAGTCCATTTCAGATTTTAAGTACACTTCTGAAGCAGAGCTCCTGGGCATGATGCAATTCAGTGCAGTAATCTTGTGCAAAATTCTGCTCAGGTGAAAGCTGAAAGAGTTCAAGATTCCTTCAACCACTACAAGATAAACAGAATGCAGTTTACATAATTCTTCTCTTAATAGCTAATAATCACCTGTGGTCTTTAGTGCTGTTAATCTGTTCCTATTACACTGGTAACTGTCTGCTAATATAGATAGCAGCTATTCAATCATGTCAAAGACAAGAAGAGGTCCTTAACTGCCAGCTTCCTCAGCTGGAACACAAGCTTATTTTTATAATCTACTTTGGTTCTAGACTCCAGACTGCACAGCATCTGCTGTTGAGACTAAGACTACTCCATGCAGCCTGAAGGTTTTCATATTCCAGAACATCTGCATCCTGATGAGTTATGGTCTTTCAGCTCCCACTCCTATACATCTAATGAAGCCTGCTTCTAGAAATTAAGTGCTTTGATTTTAAGAGGGGCAAAGCAGCTGCTTGCAAACAACTGAAACTGAATGCTAACTCCTCATTGCCACAGCTCAGAACCAGCCTAGAATTGTGACTCACCATCAGCACAAATGGACAGCAAGCTGGCAATAACAAAAAACTGGCTTTATGCTGGAGAAAAAAAGTCTGAATAGGAGCATACAGGACTAATGCTGACTTGTCTTTATGTAGCTATTTCTCTATATACTTAATATTGCTTAAGAAATGCTCATCTGCCTAAGACAAATCATGCAGGTGGAGGCAACCAGGTGTTAAGTTTAAAACACTAATCTGCAGAAACTCTCAACATGGGACATGCAACTAGACTATGAGAGAACAAGCCACCTGCTGCATTTAGGATATTTTTAGAAAGCCTCCAGCTGGTACAGGTTACCCCATTTTTAGATCTTCCTTCTAATAATCCATATCAGATTCTAAAAAAAAGTGCTTTAGGAAAGGTGTTAATCACTTAGCAGTAACTACGCTCACAAAAATTTTCATTCTTCTCACTACTGCTTCCATTCACTCTAAGATCAAGAACTCTAGTCTCTTGGGTATGTGCTCAGATTTCAGAGCGATCAGATACAGCTGCCTTATTTTTGATATTAAAAGCATGGAATCTTGTTATAGCAAGTGCTGAAGTCTTTCTAACCTTGAAGAACAGCTAACAAGAGTGAAATCTTGACTTCTCAGTCAGTTCACATTCCCACGCCTATAAGCCAGTTCTTGTAGATTTGAGAACAATTAAATCCACAAATGAATATGAATATATCATTTATTTGAGGTGAACAATTCACATCATTAAAAGTCACAGGTAACAAATTTTATCTTGAATTTGAATTAGATGTTTATTTTATAGTTTTCAGGGGCAGCTTCAGAGAAAGTAAAATGCAAAAGATAAGCAGCACGCATCGCAATCAGATGCAGTTGAGGAAAGAACTGAAAATATGAACCCTCAGAATGCAATTTGAACAGCAAAAAGAAAAAACCTGACTCGGTATGACAAAGATGCATCTTGAAGGCAATCCACTGAATGGCTTCTTCAATTATTTATTGTTTAAAAAGTATGCAAACCATGGCACAGAAAAAGAAAACCTTGTCCTAACATATTCATTGAATAAATCTAAAGTAATACACAAAAAATTTCAAGTAAAGGATTGTGGTCTGAAGTAAAAATTCCATTTCTTATTTTAAAATGAGAAGGCTATCTGTTTTTCTTCTCTCCATCCACTGGTTGATCCGTTTCAGAGTCATATTGGTATTTTTCCACACACTTCCTAGGGAACCAGCCTCGTTCTCTTATTCCACCTTAAGACATGAAAAGTTGCATTAACTTGGAACAAAACATGAACCACTACAGAGGAAAAACACAGAACTGGAAGAGACATCAAGAGGTTACCTAGGTTATTTTCTTCTCCAAGGCAGGACATCTAAGTCATTCCTAACAACACTGCTTGGAAATGCATGGATTTACTTCCACTGCCTAAAATGTCTTCAGAGATTTCCAAAGTTTCAGTGCTCTACCGTCTTTAGTATAAGAAAATATTTCCTTATGCCCTATCTGAATCTTTCTGTCTATAATTCAAGTTCACAGCTCCTATTTTTACACACCAAGGAAGCAGATAATCTTCTCTATGCAGACTTGCACACAGCGGAAGACTATGCACATGCTCATGTTTCTCTTATCTCCTTTTCCTCTTCAGGTAAGCTATCCCAGTTCTTGCAGGTTCCCCTTATAAGTCACTTTTTCTACTGATTATTCTCATTGTTTTATTCTCAACCTTTTACAGCTGATCTTCCTCCTTCTTCAGATGCAATAACTGCTTTGACTTGTGCCAACACTTCAACTCAGTCACTGCCAATGTTGAGCAGGATGGAAGGATTACTTAATGAATCTGGGAAGCTAGATGCTTTTTTCTTTTTTGTAAGCATTGACTCATCTTAGTATTATGATTGACTCTTTTTCCTCAGAAGAACTGCTACTTAATCATTAATTTTTCCATCTTCTTTCAGCACAGCTTGTTATTCCTGCATATTTACAGCATTTTACTATACATTCCTAACAAATCTCATCCTATTTTTGAAGCCTACTTCTCCAAAATGTCAATGTTATTCTGAATTCTAACCAGCCTCTCAGTATACAGCAAGTTCCCCACCCAGATCACATTTGACCTGATTTAAATATATATATAGCACAGATATCTGCTGCTAATTTCCATAATAAGCAACACAATACAAACAATTACTAATCTAGTAATGGGCCACTTATAGCCCATGGAAGTCTCTCAGCTCCCATAAAAAACATGGACACTTTCAATGTAGTGACTATTGGCTGCCTCTCTTTTGCCAACACAGAATGTACATACAACTGTTTGGAAGAGAGAGAGAATCCAATGCACCCTCTGGCAGGAAAATTTTAGCTCCATCCTAAACAGGAGGGCTAAAGTAAAAATGTAAACATTTTAATGCAGATGGCTGCGATGTTGTCTCCTTGCAGACCAGAAGGAATCTTGTCTTTGACAGCTGTAGCTGTTACTTTCGTAACTGCATGACAAAGTCCTTGGAATTGATCCCAAACCAAAGACAACATCTCCTTGTTTTTAGGAGGTACAAAGAGTAACCTCAGGTCTTACTTATATATGGTGTATTTAAGAAAGACCACTATCTAAATATCAAATAAGAAACAATCATTAACACCTCTTTAGAGTCTAAAAGTTTAACTTTTTCTTAGAATATGAAGGAGTGTCCTCCTTCCCACTCAACCTTCAATAAACTACTGGATGAGTGCTCTTTAAAGTCTGGCAGATTAATTTAATGTCTATCAAAACTGGCAAGTATACTAGATGTAAAGAGTAAAAATTGTGGATACCGTTTTAGAGGGGACAGAAGGTAATACCAGGAAGGTCAGTCATCATACATTTTGAGAACTGAACATGTAGTATTGTCCACATTTCTAGACAGCTATAAAATTGATTTGTAATTCTCAACAGTAAAAGTGAAAATAACTGCTTCATACCATCAGCAGCTGAGTCAAGAATCTTCTCACCATACATCCAGTGTCTGGGGAAGAAAGTGTAAGAGGTAATTAGATGCCAGAACTCATCAGAAATTTGAACCAAACATAGAGGTGTGGAGCCACTAACTTTAAGCCTCTTGTGGCTAAGATCAGATCCCCTTTACTCAGTGCAATTCTAGGTTCTTCAGTGCACGGTGTTGTGAAGAACGTTTTCACGCCTTTAGTCACAGGGCAGCAGATCCCACTGTAATCTTCTACTGCTCGATACCGCACCTATGGAATTGAACAGACCACAGCAACATCTTACCATAAGGAGTTATGGCTTTGCTAACACTTTCACACAAAAAAATCAATTGAAGTACACTGTTAGATTTGAGCATAATGACAACGGTTGCTAAAGGGGCTCTAAATTCCAAATTAACTGCTTAACAATTAAGCACAGTCTTCTTCATCACCATGTTTATTACTATCTGGAAACTAAGGAGCAGGCGCAAGGAAAGCTAAATGCTATGGTTAGTCAAGTAACACACTGTGTAAAAACACAGTCTTTATTTAACAGCAGTTTAAAATAAAAAAATATATAACCTCAGCAATTACTTAAACATTTACTTATACAGATATTGTAAAGTCATTTCAGACCAAACTTCATAAATACTTACACTTCTTACTCGCTTGTCTGCTTTCTGTTTCAGTTGCTCTATCTATAAATGATTATAAATAGAAATTTAGGCAGCGTTTAGTTTAAGAAGACTTGTGTATTCAACACAAAAATGAAGTCAGGTATTGAAACCCTTCAACACAGGAAATACCATTAGCATTTAAATCACTCTCGAAAGGATAATAACTTTTTAGTCTATCAAAAATGGGAGAACATTTGACAGAACAGTTTCTTAAGTGTATGTATGACTAGTCATTCTATTTTAGTTATTTTACAAGCTGGTATATTACTGCAAAGAAAAGCAGGCTATTGGATAGTGGGAAGGATTAACTTGAGAGATCAATTACCGTCAAACTGTATTGATGACAGCCATCTCTTACTGGCCAGTCCAGGCCATCTCCCTCAGGAATCCCAGACCATGTAAACACTTGCTTGAAGTTCTTCCATTTGCTTCCCATGTCATAGGGAAAAATAAAGGTCTCACCTGTTTGGTAGTACTGGATTCTGTCTTTGGCCTGCAAAATAATGAAGAAATACCATACCTCAAAACACGCCCTACAAACTGCAGCCAAGCAGTAAATGTTAAGAGGAGCAGGTCCTTGGTCCATGAGACCTAAAGGCAAATATTTTGAGGCAAGTGCAGTAAATTCCTGCTATACTAACCCAGGATTTATAAACTAATTAAACCAATTATGACATTTAGAAGTGTCTTTTTTGGGTGCCCATATGTATTCTTTAACAAGAGAGTCAACTGGCTGCTACAGATCAATCCACTCCATGCTCTGGTTTTAGTTTATGGCGTTTTTCAAAGAGAGACACCTGACTATGTCTCAGCTACATATAGAGACTTTCATAGCTTGGGATTAATGATCTTTAATTGATGCTTATGGGCACAATTCAACATTGGCTGTGTCTATTCCACCTCTAAGAACTGCATAAACAGGCATGCTCTGGATCACCCCATTCTGAACTCATAAGCTTTCTATTCTCTCAGTAATGGTGACATCTAGTGGAGCAGCCGCAGAAGAGTTTGTTCTCTATTGCAATAATGCAGTTTTTATTACTCCTCTATTGAAGTCTGTGCACAGTTTTCAGAACATACCTATTAGCAACCTGTGTTTTACAGTAAGAAGTTTAACAGATTATTACAAATTCTACTATTTAGTTTTAACCGGGATTTCTTCTATTTGTTTTCCATGACACTATTATTCAAAGACCTAACAGGACCAGGATCCACCTAAGCTAAGATTCTGTGCAGAGAGAAGGCATTACAATGCTTAGGTACTTAAACACAGTCCAGATACTCTTGCTAATTTTGACATAGAATACAAGAAAGACAAGTTAATAATGAAAAGTTTTTTGACTTATACAAAACAACCTGGTAGAACTGAACTGGTTTCCAAACATTTGAGTCAGTTTTGCTTCCCCTAAACTTCGCTCCTGCTTCTTGGATATATTTCTTCCAAATAACCTTGCAAAAACCTCTATAAAAAGGAGTGAAGACTAGGTATTTAATTATTTTTTAGTACTTCAAAATCAAGGAAAATCCTCCCAAATTTAACCAGAGAAGTAGGAAATAACAAAAATCATGAGACAAAACATGCCACCAAGAACGGGCAGGGAAGGTGGACAACGAAAGACACAAGCAGGCATAACAAGAAGCAAAGACAACTCAAGTTTCAGACAAAACCACCCTCATATTCCAAGAGGATAAGTCTCTTGAAAGCAAGTATTTTTCCATGTTCATGCCAATTCCCCCCAAACAGAAATGTCTATTCAGCTAACTTATTTCTGATCTATTTCAGTGAATTTTAGAGACAGTAAGGGAAATGGTCACCAGAGGCGTTAAGTCAATGATGAACTGAAATGATACCTTTGATTTTAAATTCAGAGAGATAAAACAAGGAATTAATATATCTAGAGAATAAATTCTGCAACAATACAAGAATACTGTACTAAAAACTTACCTTTTCTTCAATCCAGGACTCGATTGAAGTTTTATTTGTCAAAATTACTTTCATCTAAAATAAAAGTTAGGTGAAATTAGTGTTGATTTTCTGCAGAAATAATCAGCTAGGTGAAGAAAACTCCATTTAACAAACCAAACTGGCTTGAAAGTACAAAGGAACTTTCAGAGGCCTAACTGAAACATAAAACATTCAAAACTAATATTCAGCACACATACATGCTAATGCCATCCTCTAGAATTATACTGTTAGTATCACATAGTATTTCAGTTCATGCTTAAAATGTGTATTTTTTTTCCTTCCAAAGATCTCAAACATGTGAGGTAACACATCAGACATGTTCACACGTCTTTTTAGGGATAGGAGCATCTACTCCTGAAAATACAAAGTATTTTGCCTTTTATAAAGCCCACCTAATGTTTTCTTAGTTCATAAAGTCTAATCTCCAAGTTCTCTCATTAAAAATAATTTAAAAAAATACTGTGGTGATAACACAGGAACCGGGAGAAAGCAACATAAGCCCCTGGAAAAGTTACATAGCAACATAAGCTCCAAACAACTGTTCCTACCTCAACACTGCATTGTTTCTGCTCCACAACCAGACAAAACCTACAGCTTCTAACTTCTTTTGCAAGAGAAGCAATAGGCTTACCTGAATAATAAACAGCATACCAACAGCAATAGTTGTTCCTAATGCCAGTCCTAAAGCAAATAAAGATGCAGCAAATGCAGAGAGTCCAAAGGGAATAATGGGTCGAGGGTCTCTTTTGGCTGCACTCATGTCAATCTTTACAGAACTCCACCCAAAAGATATCTACAAAGGGAAAACACCATTTAGTTCCAGAACATTCTGACTGCTGAATCAAAACAAACAAACAGTAAATCTGACTCTGAAGGTAACTGTCCAACTTCCAACACGCTTATAATCTGAGTAATTCAAATAATATATTTTTCAAAGTATTAAAATTACTTTTCAGATACACATCCTTTGCCTTCTCTAGATGGAAAGCTAAACCAAAATCCCCCTCTTGCAAAGTCCACAAGCTCAGCTCAAAATTGGCAAAAAAAAAGTGGATTGTGACACATGAGCAAAATCATATTCATCAGTTTCAGACAGAAGTTGTTTGCACAGCATTGTACCCATTTTCAAAGGAACAGCTATAGGTTTCCTCTGGAAGCTTTAGCAGATAACAGATCTCAATATTATTGCCCTGCAAATACAACATGCAGACTTCCTCTGTTATACTCAGCGGATGCTTTCAAGCTCTTTGTTACAACGAGAAAGGCTGAAATCAAAGCTCATAATCTTAACCATGGATCTGAGATAAGGGAAGTATTGCAAAACAAACTTTGTCATTGCTGCTGCAGTTAAATTTTTCCATTTAAAAACAAATCCAATGTAATGATTTTCAATTCCAAAAATATGTACTTTTTTCCCCTTGAATAATTGGATACAATTCTAAAAAAGTTACTAGAAAATAAATGGCATCTCACATCTGTTGGAAATAAATAGCAGCTGGTTTCTGTGCCAGCCAAAACACAGCCTGCCTCTATATAAAGGGCTGCTCAGAAACTTTCTCCTGTCAATGCAAAGGTCTATGAAACTCCCAGTGAACACAACAAAACAAGAGAAATAAAAAGAAACTACAAACAACTTTCTCTGAATCCTCCTCCAGTTAATAAACCTACTTCTCACAGGTGGAGGGCAGAACTGAGAGTACATGTTGAAAGAATTTTTTAAAAATTACACACACTTCTTTTCAGGTAACCAAATTGCCTCATACTACCAGAGATAAGTTACACATCTGACTTAAATTATATTTTAAGCACCTAATTATATTTTCTTACTCTGTTATAAAGCTGAGTGTACATAGTCATAATAAATATGAAAGAAGCGTGAATGCATCCCAGGGGAGCTAGGAGGAGGAACAGAGTGAAAGATGCATGATTCTGGTATCCACAGCAGTTGTTGATCCAAGGGCAATGGTGATCCATCTTCATGACACATCTGTGAATAATAAATATTGATTGATATAAAGGACATGTGATTTTATTTTTTTAAAAAAGCTCTAATAAAAGGACAGTTAACTTTCTACTGCATCACCTCCATTCCTTCATTTAAACCCACCAATTTCAGACAGTAGTAGCTCGTTTTTTTGTTGCCATTCAGAATATTTCATGTTGAATGAAAGAAAGCAAAATAAAAAGTGCTCCCAGGTCCCACCCTGCCTAATTACTCCTCCTCCTATATACTGAACTTGCTAGTTGCTAATAAACAGCATATTTCAGAGCCAGGAGACAGAGAGATAGAATAAGCTCTGACCTCATACCATTGCAAATCCTCTTCAAAATCTATTTAGCAAGTGCAGACACCCTAGAGACACTTGTATTCAACAAGAAGATGGTTATTTTGGTGTAGCTTACAGGTGCAAAAAAACACCTGATAAAAATTTACCCACATCCCAAATTGCATTGATTTAACCTAACAGGTGTAAGAGTCACTAATTATGATGTTGTAATTCATCAGCACCAAACCTAAGTGATAAACAAAGGACTGAATTGCACAAATATCGAGCTCCTCCAAAGAGAAAAGTTAATTATTTTGGAACTATTGACTCCGTTATCTTTTAAGCTAGTCCATTCCCAATAGGAAGTTCAGCTTTTCCCTTTTAAAGAATAATTCTTCTTCAGAAGCATATAACCAACTGCCACTGCACAAGTTTTTGAATATGTAAACATAATTCTAAGCACAAATACTTCTGAAGAAGTGCCTAGATCTTAGAAATCTCACCTTGCCTAGGTGGGCCACAAAAAGTAAATCATCTCCTGCATTGAAACTTGTCATAGCATAGAAGATTTTCGGCAATGGCTTAAGTTACCTTTGCAACAGGCTAGAAATACATGTGGAATGAGTCACAGAGTTGAGGAAGCAAAAAATTCTTAAAGCATATCAGCAAAATGATTTGCAGAATGTGCTGCAGTTTCTTCTGGTTTATTTGACAAAAAGATAAAATTATTTAAAGGACGTATTTTTGCAGTAACAATAATCACAATCTGCTGCCATTTTCTACTAAGTCCTCAATGTAATTGTTGCTCAAGGAAAAGAGTCTCATTTTATATCTCAGGATGATGCAGTGAAATTCCAGCACTGCTCTACAGTTTCAGTCTCTACTTCCTAAAAGAATGCTGGCTGTGCATTTTGTGTTTATGAAAATAACAAACTATGCATGTTGCAATATCCCTTTATCACATTCTCTAACACTGCTTCAGAGCAGGACTTGCCCAGTAAACCTAAGATAAATACAACTACAGCCTGGATGCAGACAGTTGATGTAACTTGCTTTTTTCAAGCTGTACTAAATTCCTGTGCCCGTGTTTACAATAAAAGTATCCTTTAACTCAAAACAAGTCTGTTGGAACACTAACACATAACAAAGCACAAACATTTTAGGCTGACCCAAAAGGCGTACAAGTTTACTCAACACAGACATCTCATAAAAAAACCCCAACAACAAACAAACCCTCTAGTGAAAATCAGCATTTAACTCCTACTTGGAAAAGTAACAGAATAGGCTTTTCTACTCCCTGAGCAGCTAAATGTTTGGACTCAAAACTTTAAAAGGACTGGAAGATTTTTACATATTTATGCAGGCTCAATTCCCTGAAACAGTACTGCAATGTTTTGTTAATACTACCAAAAAGTTCTTAAGAGAAACTGTTTTCAAGATAAAAAGAGAATGTTAAAAGATAGATCTATGTATTACACTAAAACACAGTAAAACCATCTAGAAATCATACAACTACAAAGTGGAAGTATCTGAAACGGGTGTAGTGTTTGACGGGAGGCGTTTTAAAAATGCAAAATACAAGAGCTACAAGAATTGCATTAATACCTCATCATTAGGTTTGAAGCCGCTTTAATAAGGATTTAAAACAATTTTAAAGACAGACAGTACCTGTTACACTTTCGACAGTGGTGTGAACGTGGTGCCTTATATGACTGACACACTTTACAGTATTGGAGATACATGCAATCCTGAGATTTTTCCTTCAAACAAAAGAATAGGCATGTTAGATGTATACATAATTCTACTGATATACCATATCTTGGCACTTCCATAACTTAGGCATATTTGCTTTCTTCTGACAGGGTGTGTTTCATAACTCAACCCTACTTAAAGGTAGGTGGTTAGGAGAAAAAAAACAAACCCAACAAAATTAAATGATCTCTTGGCTATCACCACAGCCATCTCCCACAGCTGAAAGTGCTGGTAGCTAAAAAAAAATAAACAGTTCTTTCATCAGGAAGAGTGACTGTACAAGCAGGGTTTCATACTGAAATTCTGGGAGTAAAAAACAGCATAAAGTCTTTATAATTAAAGAAAAGTTTGTACACCTTATCAATTTTATACCATGAGCCAACATAAGCTGACTACAAAGATATAGTACTGCTATGATATAGTACTGCTAAGCATTAATGTTTAGATAGTTCTTGTTTGCCACCCTCTCTCACACACATGCCCCAACTACAGCAAGATGAGAGACAGAGACACTTTTGGATAACAAGAAGTAACACTCACCAAAATTTTGCTCAGCAAGCAGAATACCCAATTGTCCTACAAGGACTACATCGGGATCCCCTTCTCACTACACTGTCCTGATAAATACTCCACAAGTAGAAATGTGATTGTTACTCATCTTTGTGTCATACCACTGGAACACAAACTCTGCCCTTGAGATGCTGAACCTACATCAGTCTCGTCTCTGAACACAACTCTTCCAAGAGGAGGGAAATGCAAATTTCTCTCATGACTTACACTACTGTGCTGAACGTAAGATAAACACATTATCTGCAGGCTCACATGAAAAAAGAGAAATTTTCTAGAGAAAGTTATTTTAATCCTTGTTGCAAAGTCTTCAATACAACAGTGTCTGCGTGAGCGAGCAGATAACCTTGAAGTTGCCACTCCCAGCGAGCAGCACTTGTTTCCTGTTGCTTTGCTTTGAGGAGCAGCTACAGAACACAGCAGACTGCTGCCGGTAACAAAGCAGCACCGCTCAGCCCCAGGTCAGCGGGGACGGAACGAGAAAGGGACGGAGCAAGCTGGAGCGTACTGGAACGCACGGAGCAGGAGAGGCAGAAAGCGAAGACGCCGAAACAAGATAAGGCGAGAGGAGTGGCCTGCGGGGCTGGCTGCCCTGCCCGGGGACAGGGGAACAACGGTGGCATCCAGAGAGACGTGACTCCCGCGCCCAGGCCCGGGCACGCTCTGCTCCCACAGCCCGGCCCCGCCGGCCCCTCCCCGGGACCAGGCGGTCGCAAGGCAGCGCTTACCGGCGTCCAGCCCAGCGGGACGTACCCCGGGCCGGCAAACATGGCGCTGAAGTAGTTGTAGAGGATCATGACGGTCCAGTTGAGGAGCATGATGAAGTTGACGCTTCCCCCGGCGGTGTCCAGGGGCCAGTACCAGAGCGCGGCGTCCGCCATG